ATCTGGGGTTCAAATTCTTGTACAGTGACCATCTTTTTCTCATGTTATCAAGACCAGCACTGAAAAAAACAAACATTGATTGGCTTTTTAATGCATTCCTTAAAAATGCAAGAAATAGAGTGATAATCAAGTCTTTTTTTGTGTCGTTGGAAGTTTAAATTATAGCAACCTTAAAAAAAATTCCAGTCCTTTTTTATATGGTCAAAAGTTTTTAAAGTATTTATGGACTTCTGAAGGTAAATGAAACTTACGTACGTAATTTTACGTACAAAATAGTATTTGATCATCTTTGAATATTAAAGCATAAGAGGAACTTCTGTACGTTTTTCCATTTACCTGGAACTGCTTTAAACCACATTTACTGTATCATTAACAAGTCATATCAAAATGCAAAGTAAACAGGTCAGCGTCAATATTTTTATTTAAATATATTTGAAAGTATAGTATCTATAATCCAGTTAATGATTGATTACTAAACTAGTTGATGATTATTTCAATAATCGATTAATCCGATTAATAGTTTCAGCCCTATCATAGATATACCGGTAGGCATATCTAAGGCAAAAATCGCCTCCATCGTACAAGATGGACGTATTCAATGATGGGGTGGCGAAAAAGGAGGATTCATTTGATTTTTGGTTAGATTATCTCTTGTTGTTTTTTTATTCGTCTTTAAATATGCATTAAAATAAATCCTACATGTTATAACAAATAAAAAAATTGAGATAAAAAATGAGATGCAATCCCAAAACATGGAAGGAAAAACATGGAAGGTATGAGCAGTATGAGAAGAAGGGGCAAGGGTAATACTGTCTAAATAAAATAGAATAGAAAAGAAAACTCTTTTATTGTCCCACAATGGAGAGATTCTGGTGTTTACAGCAGCAAAAAGATTATAGAAAAAATGGTCACACAGATATGGACCTTAGAAAAAGGTTTAAGAATAACATAGTAGTGAAGAGTTAACTACACAATACGGAGGTACTTTTTTATTAGAGTAATAAATTGGCCATATACGATTATAAAAGCAACCAGCCCAATAAACAGAACAAGAAACAATCTTTGTTCTTCATCTCTGCTGGTAATAAAATCAGCCCTGAGGCTTCTTTACAATTCAGTTTATTTCTATAGCAGCAATTCACATCATGTCATCTCAGGTCACTTTATAGATCCAGTTCA